CGGCGGGGTCTGTTCCCTCATTCGTTCTCTGTCCATATACTGTGCACTCCAGGTAGCTGCTAAAGTCCTGCAGGAATGGAGAACAGGTCTAGCAGGAAGATACTCCAGACTAATGTGGTGGATTCGTAGCTCAGTTTCATCCTGTTAATTGGGAATGCAGAGTGATAAACAGAATTAAAGGCATTGAGGTCTCTGCTCCTCCTTGAGGTGTCCAATGCTATACACGGATCTCAGACAGGAACTCTGCATGGTCACAGGTGTGTGCTGTGCTCATTTCTGTGTTGGAACTACTGAGGCACAACAGCCATCAAATGATTCAAACTGACTCTAAGAGCTAAACATAAAAGCTAATATGACAATATAAAATGTTAGTCTCTGATTTGATTCCAGAAAATTTGTAGGTGATAAAATATATGTTAAGTATTCTGTTGTCAGTGCTTGAATGTATGATGGAATATTTGCATGAAATAGCAATCAGATGCCAATATATATGCTCTTAAATGTTTAGGTTTTCTCTGTGTAAGGCTATGTTTTACTGGTTCCCTTGAAAGAAGGGTAATGGCTATGAAATACAGCTTATCTTTTATAACACAGGAGGCTTTCTTCCTAGAAATATTCAGGATGCATATCTATTGTTTTCATGTGAAAAGATATGTAATTTTTTTCAAACCTCACTCTCCTAGGCTGTTTGTCATCACAATTGTTGTGATTCATCACTGATCTCCCCATTACCCCAGAGGAATTTCTATGCATAATGAGTTACCAGCTCTGGACCAGTGTTCTAAATTTTTCTATGTATTGACAAAGTTTAAAATGGAGATTTCAGATTAGTGAAAATTCCTAGTTATTTCATCTATTTCTGGTGTGATTTGGAAAAGTGGTGCAATCTCTCCATGCCTCATTTGCGCACTTGGAAATTATTAGAGCTTTAGTTTTTTCCCATCTTTTCGTCTCCTTTCTCTCCCCCATTAAAAGTAGTGCATATCCTACAGTAGGCATTTAATGAGTCTGATTTAGTCTAATGTATTTGTAATCACAATATTATCACCACTATCTTTTTAATTCAAACCTTTCATGGATTCCTTCTTATTACCTGAGAACAAGCGTGTCTATATGGTATTACACTCCTTTATAGGGCTCATTCCCACTCCTGATGCAAAGTCAGTGTACCCTGCAGCAGACCCCAAACTTGCACATTGCTGTCTCATAAATCTCTGCATGTTGGAATCGGCTGTAATTGACATTAACCTCTGTGGATGTAGAAAAGCAGAGAAACCAGATCAGAGACATTGTGTCTGAAGTTTACTTTCACTGTGAACAGATTGCTATTTGCTGTAGCTGAAAATTTTTGGAAAGTAAAGGGGCATCTTCTCCAATAAATTACTTTCTCTGGCAAACCTCGTATTGGTATACGTACATAGGCATCTATCTAGTTTGGAAAGTGTTACAAACATAATCCACAAAAAAAGAATTTCATTTTGAGACTGCAGATGCAGAATAGAAGGCCACATGGACAGCTGCCATCCCCATTATGTGAAACAGAAACATGAGATCAGCTTCAAAACAGGATTAAGAGACCAAATGGTGGTAATTTAGTCATTGCAGTAGAAAACTATGATGTCAAAACTCCCTTCTGCTAGCAAGAACGTATTGCTTTCAGGACACTCCTTTTACCTTACTGATATCTTTCAAGACGCCTCACCGCCCCTTTGCAGGGAAACATTTCATTTTCAACAGACCAAATATCTAAAACTTCATTTTCACATCAACACAAAGCAAAAGATAAGATTTCCCCTATTCCTCTTTTGATGTAAACAAAGGTAAAACTAAAGAGCACCCCAAATGCCCCCATCACATGATTAAAAACACTAAGGGTGCTAAAACAACAAATTAGGCTTTGAGGGAATAGTAGAAGGGAAAATCCATGTCCTTTAGTCACACACATGGGACTTCACTGGAACTAGCTTAACATGGGGTTCAGATAACTACGAAAGAAACGGCTGCTAAGTCCTGAGGTTTGCTTAGAGCACTGGCTTTATGGATGGTTAGCAGTCACTTTTTTTACAGGCAACTAAACCCTGGGTGAAGTACAGCCACACTGCATTGGCTTAATGGATATTCTTAATTATATGACACGCCATTTTAATCAGCCCAATTCCATACGCTGTTCCAATGCAGCACTTTGATGAACTGGAACTCTTATTCAATTCAGTGTGAGAGTCTGCTAAGGATGGAAAAAGGTTTTGAATCCCTATCATTCTTGCTTTTATGAATAAATTAACAATGTGTGAAAATTTGTAAGAAAAAAATAATCCCTGAAGTGTAGCTTTCTTCCTTTTCATCTTTAATTATTTTAAATTAAGACAAAACTCCAGAAAACATGCCACTAGATAATGAATGGCTTTTATCTGAATTCAGCAATGGTAGTATTTTATTGATGTAAGAAAACTGGAAGAAACATGCTGCAATTACTAATGTGCTACCATTAATTCAATGTACAAGACGCTTAAACCAGATAAGATTTACATGTTTTGTTAATAAGCAGGAGAAACAACAGGAAAATAAGTGTTCTACATCTTATAAAATGAAATACTGGGCCTATGGTCAGGTTTGCTATGATTACCACTGGAATTGAGATTCTAAGTCACACCTCTTCTCACTAAAATACAGTGTACTTCTAAATATAGTCAAAGTTCTCAAGAATCATTTGCTTCCCTTCATCTAGTCCATAGTTAGAAAAGTATGGGGTTTTTTTCGTACGCACCAACCTTAAGCTCATGTCTGATAAACTTCAAAACAGAGATAAAGGTTGCTGGTTTGGTCTTACATTGTATAATTGCATTATCTAGTGCTAACAATAAAATAACACATGGACCTAAATACATTATTTTCTAATCTAAAACCAAGATTTCTTATAGAATCTATGTATAAGGGAAATCTGTGTATAAAGCAGTCAAAGTAATCACAGCAAAAAATGTATTAATAAAGGAAGGAGGCATATGGTGTATACCCAAGACACAAAGCAGCAGTATTTGAGGCTTTAATAGTAAGAAGCTGAAACATTCCATTGGGCTTTTGTATGACATATCCAGCTGGGTTTTTTGTTTGGTTGTTTTGTTTGGTTGGGGTTTTTTACATGTATTTTTAACATGCATACTGGAAGAAAGAAATATATTCCTTGATCTCTTCAGCCCTTTGTAGCAGTGTTTGTGAAATTAGACTTTTAAGAGGATAATAGCTTGACCAAATTTGAAATTTTTTGAAAGGCAGTAAATAGTGCATTCTTAACACCTTAGGCTTATTTTTGCACCAAAAACTGGGGTCAGATTCTCAGCAAATATACTTTTTAGCATGAATGAAGAGGCATATCTCTTCCAAACCACATTCCCAGAAAAAGAATGAACAATTTTATCCATTATTCCCCTTCTATATTCATCTTAAGGTGGAAAGCTGGAATGCAAAATATGAATTTGTATGAATAAAGTAGTAAATTGATTTCAAACCCACTCATTATCAAGGCAGTCAAACCCACCAGAATGCCACTCATAACATGCTAGTATGGCTTGCATTCACATATGTAATAACTTCAAACTTAACCCATTTACAAAGTATAACAGGCAAAAGTAGGACAATTTTAGAGGCTAGGCTGCGTAAAGCTTCAGAAACAGAGAGTAAAGCAGACAGTAAGACCTTGTTCAAAGTACAAGATTTATTTGTTCTTTTTCCTGCATTAGTGCTGGGATTTTTGGTTATCTGTCTAGCTTGTGTTTGTTTGTTGTTTTTTTTTTTTAAATTGGTGTGCAGTGAAAAACGCTTATTAGCCACTGAAAAAACCAGAAAAATAGCAAGTAGGGTGTCATCTTTCTGAGGTTTTAGTTTCATAGCCACCACTTGCACTACGCAATTTAATTTCTTGTATAATCTCACCTTTCCTTAAAAGATGCAAGCTCATACAGTACGTAAAAAGTTTTGAAATCATTCTCTTTCGTGCGCAAAGGGGAAGTGCAAAGCTGTGACCACTGACTTAGTCATTCAGAGGTGCACCTCTTTCAAGGTATTTCAAAGAACTTGAGAAAGGTTCCAGTTGGTGTTTGCATATTCAGAGGTGTGCTTTCGTCCCATAGTGGGAAGTGGCAGTGGAAACTGGCTTTTCTGAGGGGGTGACTTGTGAAAAGGGAAGTCTCCTGAATCAATTTCTTCTTATAATTTTAAACCAAGACATTCTCCAATGCTGACTTCTCCTGCTTCTCAACCCGAACGATGCATAGGTATCCAGGATGTAACATGCATTTAGAAGGTAAGTTTTGAAAAAAAGAATGTAAATGGTACTGGTGTTTTGACTCTTCAGCTACCCAGCCCTTTAAAATGTCTTTGACCTATATTGTTTATTTCATTACTTCTTTATCAATTTCAACTTTGTCTACTAGCAAACATGGGAGCTTTGAAAAATACGAATCAACAGTCTTAAATGCAGTATAAATTTTAGGTAGTGATTTCCCTTACTCTTATGTACATTAGTGCCATATATGAAAAGTTTCATTGTTTAATGACTGAATTTAGTCTCTAAATTAGGCAAAATATATTTTTCAAGTGCACTTTAAATTGTGTTTTTGGAAAATTTTTTTCAAAGAAAATATTTTTAAAATACTGTTTCTTAATATGTTAACTTTTATATTTAGGAAGACATAATAATGAGTCCCACAGGCTTTTGAAAAATGTCTTTATTCAGACACATGGGTAGTGAACAGATCTACACTTCAGGAAACTCTCAGGTCTCTTGAATTTTTGACATTAAATGGTTGATTTTCCCCACACTCAAATTAACTATTCTAAGTTTTGTGAAGATTGGTTTTGTTGCTTTCATTTTCTTGCCCTGACTGTCTACTTCCCAGATTCACCAGGTGGGTTTTGCACAAGCCCTTACAATCTCTGCAGCTGCTGTGGTGTATGGGCTGGCAGCTCCCTAATGTTACCTCCCCTTTCTCTTATTCCAGCAACCCATTAAACCAGACATTTCTGGGCAGCGAACAAGCGGCATTGGCTGATTAGAAACACTCAGTCCTGTCTACGTATGTTTGAGAAGAAATCTCCTGTCTTTCTGCTCAGGTATGCTGGTTTATGGAAATAAGCATTCTTTGACAAGTTGTGAATCGTAAGCCTTTTATGTATGGATGGCTTTTCATTCCCTCCTGGTCACCTTGGGCATCCTTATGTTGTTCTTCTTTCGATTTGCTGTTTTCTGTGGACCAATTCATTGCATATAGACATAAGAAATACGCTATGGGGTCAGCCCAGGGGTCCATCTGCTGGTCTGTCTGTAGCAGCAGCAATAGGAGGTGCTACTTAGATATCATCCACAATTTTGGCCACTTCCTGCATCCCATTTTCCAAGTACTCCCCCAGCATCTACAGCAGCTGAATTAGAGCTGTTAGAGGGTACATCCGTCTCTAAGATTTTTTAGAACCTTTTCATAGATCTGCTTTCCACTAATTTGTCTAGTCCTATTCTCAGCCTGCTGACACCCTCTGCCATGGCATGTACCTGTGGGAGCAAGGTGCGGGAGTCCACTGCACACTGAGTGGCAAAGTGTCTTTCAGTGCTGTATGACAGGTACTTCTAGGAAGAGGTCACCTCCAGGAAACAGTGATAATCTCTCCTGAAATGCCTTTTTTGACTCAAGACAGTTGGTTTTTTTCTAAGTTTATTCAGACTTACTTTAAAATTCCTGCTTCTCTGCCGCTATGTTTCCTTTCTCTGACTGAACGAATCTGTATTACCTCACAGATGATTTCTATTGTCGTTTCTAGCACCAAAAGTTGTTGCTATTTTAAGATTTATTTTGTTCCTTTTCTTGTTTCAGGTCCCCTTTTGACTTGTGTTTTCCACAAAAGTAGCCATGTTACTAACAGCCACAAATATTTTAACATACTTAGTTATTTCCATCCTCATTTTCTTTCCTTTCTCCAAATTTAAATAAAGTATACACACGTTCCTAGTAATATCTTTGATTGTTCCATCTGATGAGAATGTATGAGCCCTTTACAACCCCTGCATGTTGAATTATAAACGCTTGAAAAATCCTTGTTTTCATTTTATGTTTTCCCTGACTTTTGCCACACACCCTACCGTTCTAGGGGCACCATTAATGAGAAGTGAGAGTGAGAACAGATCACTACTTCCCTCTCCAGGCAATTAGAACTGACTCCTTTCCTGGGCACACCAAGCAGAATTTACACACTGGTGTGGCACACACACCACAGCTACTGTTGCTGCTACAGCTGAGATCAGCATCAGAATGAACCAGGTCGGGGAATCTCTGCCTGAAAGCATCTTCTTGTGATTTTTCACAGTACTTCATAAACAATGACAACATTCATTAAATGACCTCTTGTTCACCATCACAGTACTTCATAAACAATGACAACATTCTTGTTCACCGCATTATACTAAAATAGCATTATAAATCAAAGTGTATGTGTATATTTTTTTTCCCAGGTAACTTCATTGCAGACTTTTTGATGTGCTGAACATTCACACATTTTCCTTTAAATGACCAATGCCTCTTGTCAGTCAATGTACTGTGAATATCTTGATATGGCTCCAGGGGTCCTTTTGCTGATCCATGGATAACATAGAGTGCGTATGAGAATTTTAGTATGGAAAACAATCAGAGTCAAGATAAATCAGTTAGCCTGTGAGTGAAAGACCCCGAACACAGAGAGTTATTAATTCTGTGAAGAACTGGTAAGGTTTCAGAGGTTGATTTACATTAAAGCAATCATTGAATGAATACTCACCCATCAAACAGCAATCGTGTCTTTTTAAAACCAACTTTCACCAGAAAGAATCTTTCTTCTCACTGTATCTCAAATTTAGCAAATACCTGATATACACTTGTAGATAGTCACTTCTGCAAATGGCAAGATTCAGCTTTCCTCAGATAGTTACAGTTCATACCCTTTTAAAGCAGATATCTAAACCAGGTAACATGAATCACACCTAGAAGAGACAGTTGCTCTACTGCCACTAGAGGCTGGCTAACTCATAACAGATACAGCTGCTGGTTTTGTATCTAGTCAAAGTTATGCCAGGTGGCTCCAACCCAAACAGTCTGCTTTCAGTGTCTGTAAGCTTAATTTCTGTCGTCTAGGTTTGAGGATCAGTAGTGTCATATCTGTGGTCTTGCCTTGCAATCTAAGCAGCACTGTCATTCAAAACCGGCTGGCAGCATGGCATATCTCTTCTCTTTGTCCCTGGCACCCAGTTAAAGAGTGTGCTTAGGTACAAACATCCTGGGAATTAAAGGCACTGATCAACAAGACCCATTAAACATATGTAATTTCATATTTATTTCTTATACTTCAGACAACACTTAAGTGGTTAAGTGGATGTTTTTTATTATTTCACAGAAGCAAAATGAAGACATCACGTTCTAAGTGCTTTTTCAACTGAACTTCGAACTAAAGAGTCTCAATTTCTGCAGATCTGTGGCCCAAGCCATTTACTATGGCACGTATTACAGTTGCTCCTGTCATTCTGATGGTAACTTTTTTCCAGCATAAGATACTATTTTCCACTAGCCTGGAAAGTGGACAACCAGATGTAGTGGGTAAGTAAAATATTTTGTAACAGTTCATCCTATACTAGACATCCCAGATCATAGAATCATAGAGTAGTTTGGGTTGTAAGTGACCTTTAAAGGTCATCTAGTCCAACCCCCCTGCAATGAGCCAGGACATCTTCAACTAGATCAGGTTGCTCAGCGCTGAGTCCAACCTGACATGGAATGTTTCCAGGGACGGGACATCTACCACCTCTCTGGGCAACCTTTGCCATTGTTTCACCACCCTCAGCACAAAAAGAACCTCTTCCTTGTATCTGGTCTGAATCTTCCCTCTTTTAGTTTAAAACCACTACCCCTTGTTCTATTACAACAGGCCCCGCTAAAAAAGTCTGTTATCTTTCTTACAAGCCCCCTTTAAGTACTGAAAGGCCTCAATAAGGTCTCCCTGGAGCCTTCTCTTCTCCAGAGACCTGTGCTAGCAGAGGTGTCCAAGACAGATAAAAGTGAATAGCCCAACGTTTTGAGAGCTGCAGATAGGTAAACATGAAACTCACTGCTAAATTCAGTCATATCCAACAGAGCTCAGCAACCACCTGCTCCTGGGAATGCAAGCCTCACTGAGAGCCAAATCTTTTGTATACACAGTGGTGGGCCCTCTCTTCCTCTATGTAATTTGTAATTGCAGATGGTCTTGGAGCACATAATGTTCTGTGGATTACCAAGCATGGGTCAAGAGTTATCTTATCCTGGAACAATAACCTGACAAAAGAAGAAACTAAGAAGTATACTGTGAAGTATATTTTGAGTTATAAATTCTTCAATACAACTCATGAAAAGAAAGTAAGTCGTTCAATGGTTACATGTAGTTTAAAGTGAAATCAGATATTGCTTCATTCAGTAGATGAATTTGCATAATTTCCCTTTCAATACTTAGTACCATCTGCCATCATGCAATTCCTTCTTCCTCTTCTTAGGAAAGACTGCGCGAAAAGAAAAAGGTAATACCTCTTGAGTTACATTCTGGTTTTAATGCTAAAGTTAAAACACAACTTTTCGCAAAAGAAACAGAAGATGTAATTAAGGAGAGTGACTGGACAGAATTTACTTACAAGGCACCTCCAGGTTAGCTATTTTTACATGTTAAGACATCCAAGCGTTCTTGATAATGTTCTGTCTTACTTAGAGACATATGACTTCTGAAAGCTCATTCTTATCTTATGCTACTTTTTTTGGCTCAGAATTGTTAAGATGACACATAGCACCTTGGAATATTGGAGAATTATTTCCTTTATTAGACATGTTTAGATTCAGAAAACTGCAGCTCTGCTAAGCCAGATGTCAGAACCACCCGATTACTCTCTCCATTTTCCCTAGTAACTCATGTCTCTTGAAGACTGCCTTCTGTATCTTAAAAGAGCAGAGCTTTTCAAGCTTTTCTGAAGCTTTTACTGCTTCAGACATTTTGTCCTTTAAGTGGGTTAGTAAGGCTTTTGGTGGTGGTAGCAGATGTGCCTCTCGGTTGGAATTGTCCAAAAATTCAAAAGACCCACTTGCTCTCACGTACCACTTATTCATGCTTCTAGAAATAAGCACAAAAAATGGATTTGTAAAGGCCATCATGTTGTTATTAAAAAATCATGAAAATAACCATCACTCACTCTTTTTCCCCCTTTCTTTGTTGCAGTATATATTCAGAATTTTTCATGCATCATATATAATATATCTTTCTTCAATTGCACCTGGCTTATTAAAGCAGAAGCTCCTGAAGATATTCAGATATTTTTTTCATACAGGTAATGGTCTTGTGCAAAATAACTATGAAGCTATGCTTTTGTACCTAAGTCCTTGATTTACAAGACTCATATTTCCTTCTCACAGACACGTAGGAAAAGATTTTGAATGCCAGCAATATATAAAAAATGCAAGGAAGAAAAATATTGGATGCCATATGAAAGAAATATATTTCCAACCATCAAGAAAAATCAATTTAAACATAACCATAAGACATCTGAGACATAATTCAGGAGGCCTGTCTTATTACAAAGCTTTTACACCTCAGACAATAGGTAAGTTTTTTCTATTATTACCTGTTCATTTATTGGTTATTTCATTTGTCCAGAAAGCAAAGAAAGGAAAGAGGGAAGTGTGAAAAAGTCAAAATATTAATTCTAAATTTTTATGCATTCATGATTCTGGGAATTTTGCACAAATATTAAACAAAATGGATTATTGCTCAAAGGTTTTAATTTTTTTTCTCTGATGTAATATCATTGTTTATCTATAGCTGGTATTTAAAAAAATTGATAAGCTAGTGTGAGAAAATGCAATTTGAAAAACATTATATTCTTCTTTTCTCCAGTTTTTCTCTTTCCTGTTCTTTCCTTTTTCTTTTATAGTATCTATAGAACATAAATAGACATAAATCTAATTCGTAACTGAATTTAAGAATATGAATATTCTCAAATATTACTAACATTTCTGTTTATTTATTATACCATTTTTTCAGTTAAAAATACTTTGATGGTTATTTTTAATTATCACTAGTTTTGAATGGTCATATGAAATTACTTTTCCTTACTCCTCTGGAAAGTTAATTAATCTCATGGGTAAGAAATTCACCTGAGTTCTAGTACAGACTGCAGATTCAAATACCTTTTAAATTATCAACATGTTGATCATATTCCAGACCTGTAACATGGGAATCAGTCATAACTCAAGGGATAGCAAAAAAGTAATTCAAAAGTATAAATATTTATTCTGAGTTAGATCTCCTTTATTCTGTTCTGTTATTGGAATTACTGGCTTTGCTCAAATATTTATACTGCAATCAGAGCCAGCGATAAGCAAGATGTTCTGTTTTAGCAAAATAAAACATTTTCAAGAAAATCAGATTTTCCTGAAAAGCCAAAAAAAAAAAAAAAGAAAAGGGTGGTGGTGGTAGAACTAATCTGCAGGAAGACTGTATTAGGTGTTTTCATAGCTGGCTGGGAGGATGCCCACTTCCAGACTGGCTGCCTGGGTCTAATCCCACCTGCACACTCCAGGAGAGAGAGCTGCTATAATACATCCAGTCTTAGGATCAAATGCTTCACAAAGCAACAAAAGATTTCACGTGATGTTCAGAGGTGATGCCTGAACTACTCTAATTTGGCTGACGACTTCCTGAGTGCTCACCCAGCCTCACCTTGGCAGTTTCATGCCTTCTCCCACCCCTCTGCTATTCCTGGGGCAACCTTCCCACCCAAGGTTTTCCCGAGGAGCACCAAGCTGGGGTGGGAAGAAGTGAGTGGGAGGATAAGTAGGAGTAAACAGGATGTCCATTCCCTGCTTCTCCCTCCATCCACTCAATCTCCTTCTTCCTGCTTACAGCAGCCACTGCCTTCTCTATGCAGACGCCAGACTGCCAGCGTTTCCTCACTGACCTTCCCTTCCCACCTTAGCCATCTCTAGTATTCAGAAGTCACAGGTGGTTCAGCCAACAGCTTCCCCTCCTGTCTCAGCACCAAACACAAACGCTGTTAGCGCGCCTTGCCTCTAAAATCTGTTGCCAAGTCTTGGTAGGGCACAGCAAAATCTAAGTGAGCTTTCAGGGAGCACACACAGAAGCACAGAATGGTTAAAGTTGGAAAGGGACCTTAAAGACCATCGAGTTCCAACCCCCCTGCCATGGGCAGGGACACCTCCCACTAGAGCAGGTTGCTCAACTGTTGCCAAGTCTTGGTAGGGCACAGCAAAATCTAAGTGAGCTTTCAGCGAGCACACACAGAAGCACAGAATGGTTAAAGTTGGAAAGGGACCTTAAAGACCATCGAGTTCCAACCCCCCTGCCATGGGCAGGGACACCTCCCACTAGAGCAGGTTGCTCAAAGCCCCATCCAGCCTGGCCTTGAACACTTCCAGGGATGGGGCATCTACAACTTCTCCAGGCAATCTGTTCCAGTGTCTCACCACACTCACAGTAAATATTTTCTTCCTAAAATTTAGTCTAAATCTCCCCTCTTTCAGTTTAAAGCCATTACTCCTTGTCCACTACAATCCCTGATAAAGAGTCCCTCCCCATTTTTCCTGTAGGCCCCCTTTAAGTACTGAAAAGCCACTATAAGGTCTCCCCGGAGCCTTCTCTTCTCCAGGCTGGACAACCCCAACTGCTAGAAAGCAGCTATAGGCTTGCTTATCTAAACTAAATGTTAAAATCCTGGGAACTTAAACGTCCCTTGCTTCCAACCCTGTACCCCATCCCTCCCTGAAAAAAACATTGCCACCACACTCCTTGCACTTTGTGACTGGAGTACAGTGGCGGGAGGAATATTTTTTGTTTGTTTGTTTGTTTACATCTCTTAAGCACATCTTGCTTCCTTTGTAGCAAGTGCTCACTGGCTCATTTATAAAAGAGACAGAAAGATTTCTAACAGGTGTGTAGAAAACATATATTGTGTAAGACCTTCCAGGAATCGGTACTCTGTCAGTAGCCCTTCAGTGAAGGGTTCAACTTCAATGAAGTTCCATTTCTTTCCAAGTTACGCTGCCAGGTTCATGGGCAGACTTGAGGTATCTCACAAGACAATGTGGAAATAGCCTGACATGGCAGGGAGCCTGTAGCAGCTTGGAGGTCTCTTCAACACCCACCCGGACTCTGAAGGGTGAACTCAAAGGGCCTGCTCCTCCTACCCACCCTCGCTACCGTTCCTGGAAAGATATGCAAAAAAAAAAAAAAAAAGACCTTGCTTGTTTTATTTTGAGAGAGAAATGGATGCCAGTTAGTTAGCAGCACTTTTAAAGAAAATGTGTCACCCACTGAATGCCTTCTTTGGGTGTGACAATCTCCAAAAATAGTCAGCTGTGTATTTCAGGGACTAACGCGCTGTTTTTGCTTTGCATCAGCATAAATATGAGAAAGTGCCTGAGGTACAGAAGGTCTCTCTTTGCTCTTTTTTTCAGAGAAACTGAACCCGCCTATCAACGTCTCTGTTTCCCTTGAAAACGGAAGTATTAAAATTCACTGGAAACCCCCGCCTACTATTGGTTCTGCAAGTAGCAAGTGCTTTTTGTATCAAGTGAAAATAACAGATCGTAAGGTAATCATGCTTCTGGTAATGCATTCAATCTTCATAGCATATCTTTCATAAAAACTAGGCATCCCTTGAATTTAACAGAGTTAAAACTCAAACAAACTATAGAAATTTCAAAGTCTTTCATGAAGAATCCAACTTTTCTTGTCTTTCTGGTCAAAAATGGAAAATCAACACATTTAATGCAGTTTTTCAGAGTCATGTTTGCATTCAGGTGGACTGATTATTGTTTTTTCTTTTCATCTTGAATTTGAATTGTACATTAGCACAATTACTGACTTTTTTCTATATTGATAAGAAGAAAAATTTAGCAGATACTTTGATAATATTTTTAAAGAAAAAAATGGCATTATTGTTGCTATATCTACATACATCATTAAAGAATCACCCCTGTTGTTTACATACCTTATATATTAAATATATTTTAAAATCTTTCATGATGTATCAGAAGCTTCTCTTAGTCTTACCAGTAAGAAATAGAACAGTGTTATAGTTTATGGTGACTAAATGCCACTTGGTATTACTAGGTGGCATTTCTAAATTACCTGGAAATAAGTGCTTAGAAGTTCTCATGCAGAAAACTTAATTCAGAATACAATAGGTATGAAATTCAGATGCATATTGGAATGTGAATTTTCTGAATCTTTGGTGTTTTCATTCAAGCTGCCTTTGATGCCGTGTGTTTCTTAAAGAACCCAAAACTTAGCTAATAGACATCTCAGCGCACAGTACTCTAACAATAAAAGTGTTATCTAAGCTGGCTGCAAACATTTAAGAGACAATTTAAGGCTGAGAGAACGCATGACTAAATTGATGTGCATGCACACTTTGTTAGACACAGCAGAAAAAAGTGCAGTGAAGTAGACATGTTATTGATCACATAATGTTATCTTCATAAATTACAGCAGGGTTTATTAATTCAGGTGCAGCACTAACACTGATAGGTAGTTTCCAGAATAGGGCTGGCTCTTCCCACCTTTCCTCATTGCAGCATGTGGAAAAGGAGCTCAGGTCTCTACATGGTCATGCCAAAGCTTCCCAGTTCTCTTTGCATTTTTCCAGAAGAAAGGCGGGTAGCCTACTTCTAGTCCACTTCTGCCAATAGTTATCATCCCCTCAACCATTCCAAAATCTAGTACTTCAAAACCCCTGCCAGAGACGTCTCAGGGCTCATCCCTCTCCATTCACAAAACTCGTAGTCACCAAAGGCTGCAAGCAGAGTGAGCAAGGGAGGTTTGTGCTGGACCCTTGGTATCCTGTTGAGACACATGCTGGACCATGTGTCTGATCCCTTCCTGTCCATGCACACAGTTTTGTTTCCTGCTTCAATGCGCAGAACAAGGGTGGAGGCAGTGTGAAGAGCTGGGAGTAAAGGGATCCCTTCCCTCTGCAGGGCTGGGATGTGCCCAAGGTGAGCAGGGAGATCCTGCAGTCCACAGTCTTCATGTGGCCATTGCAAGCCTGGTTTCCAGCTTCCTAACACCTTCCATTCTCTGGAAGGAAATCTCAAATACATTAAATAGTTCAGCATCCTTACTTAAATGGAATAAACTTCTTTCATTTTCCTTGACTTATACAACTGCTTCTCTGCTTTGTACACATCTGCAGGATGTAAACATGGGAGAGGAAAGCAAAGCAAAGTCATTTGGGCATGGAATTGAATCAACACAGCAGTGGAAAATCATGGCTTCCTTTTTTCCACAGATGGGATGGTTTGGGAATACAGGAGAGAGGCAGCTGCAATAGCAAGCAAAAAAAAGACATATGAGGGCACGAGATAAATGAGGGGACTTAAGGTAGATTTGAGGAGAATCATTGTCAGTTGGTAATGACTAAAACTGTGGTTACCTAGCCAAGGAGCAAAAAAGATGAGGGGATCTGTGCAAAGTTAAGGAAGAAAACTGCAGCAGTATTACAGAGGACACAGGAGGGAGAAGAATGGAGCAAGCCCAAAGGTCTGTTTCCTGGTCAAAGACTTAATGAGTTGAGGTATTAGAGTGTCTCTAAGTAGGCTTGTAGATGTTTGTTAAAAAACAGGTAAGAGTATAATGATTAAAATATATGAGTCTATATTTATTTATAATGAATACCTGAAGAGATGATTCGCTGAATACTTATGAGCACAAACAACACTGTGATGAAGACTGATAAAGCTTGAAAATAGAGAGGTGAGTGTGTAGATGACAGGAATCTATGAAGGGTTGGCATGTACTAAGGGGAATAAGACTAGAATTAGAAATGTTGTGCAAATCTGAAATCAACAAGCCAAAATTCAGTAATAAGGAAAATCCTATGACTGAGAAGTACAGGGCAAATGTGCAAACACAAAATAAGGAATTCCTGTGTAGGCAGCAATACAGAACAAAAAGGGTCTGTGGATTACACTGAACCACAAACTGAGTCAATCTTTCCATGTTATTACACAAAGGTCAAATGTTATTCAAGTATATATGACAGGCATGTCACATGTAAGATGTGGATTGTGACCAATTTGCCCTTCTAGTTACTGAATTTCACCTGAAGTTTCAAACTGTGCTTTGGGTACCACCACAAAATATAAATATGCTGAAAAAAAAAATCAGAGAACATAAATGTGAATTATTAAAACGAACATAAGCTGTGAAAACGCGCTCTAGGAATCGAAGGCTGAGGGTCATGGTCTAGAGTAAAGGAGTGTAACTTGTGTTAATTTTCTAGTAAATAGAAAAGCATAGGGATCATACTTATCCATTACAACTTGTGAGTAGGATTAAAAGTGACTGGCTTCATTTGAAGCAAGGAAAACATAGGCTAAAAGTTGGGAAAAGCGTCCTAATTCCAAGGAAAGCCCAGCATGGGAACAAGTTTCTGAGGCCACTTGAGGATGGCTCTGTATAGAGTTATAAACAATGGATTGGATAAACATCCTCCACGGATGCTCTGGGTAGATGTCACTGCAAGTTCCTGCAGTAATTGCAAGTATGTAATTTTACAAAAAATCTTTCAGTCTGAGCTTTGGAAATTTCCTATGATGACATAAGCTTTTTATTTGCTCCTTAAGAAGAAATTTTCAGGCACATCATTTAGTTAGCACTTAACCCTTGTAGTCACTTTAGTGTGCTTTTGAAAGCCCAAGAGCATTCCCACTTCTTAGTTTTGAAAAACTTAGCATGTAAACTTTTGGAACTATTTTTGCCCATCTGTGTCCAAGATGCATACTTTATACTTCTTTTCAACATCCTAACATTATTTTTAATTTTTACAAGCAAGAGTTTCTTTTCCTGCTTTTTTTTTTTTTTTTCCTACCTACTTCATTTCTTGGCCTTTTCTAATTATAGCACTTTGCTTCAGTTTTCAAAAGGAATGAATGATTTAAACAGTGACACTCCTTGTGTTGGCTTCATCTTTTGAAGTGACATGCTTTATTTTTGAGGCACAATTAAAGACGTTTTGAGATAGTCATTAAAATGGTGGGCATCCCTCACCACCATTCAGCTGAAAAATGCAGGATTTTATTTTACCAGCCAAGCAAGTATAGCACACTATCCATACCACAACCTTAAAACTAGAAGTTCCATAGTTACTGTACTCATCCTACTCTTGATGTGATAAGAAATGAAAGGGGAATCAGTGTTTTCAAAATCTTACTGTCCTACTGTAGCGGGTACCTCCTTCCATCTTATTAGTCCTAGGCTCTCCTTCCTTTTCAGTCCTGAGTTTTAACACATACCAGATAAAAATCAGATTGTGTTTGGACAAAAACGCTTGTTCTGAAAATCTCCTCCTACTAGGATAGAGATGTAAAGAATCGCATTTCACATCCCCGGATTTATAGCTGTTTGAACTGCAATGTGAAATCACATAAAATAACCCCCTAAACCTATCTTGACAGATTGTAGATGTCACTGCAGAGAAATACGAGTCTCCATTTCATAAACCAGCAAAAAAATGTGCAGTACAAGTGAGGGTAAAGAAAGAGGTATGCATAAGAAACAAGATTTGGAGTGAATGGAGTGAACCAGTGTTTATTCACAATGGTAAGTTATCACGTATTTACTATTCATAACCGTTATCATATGTTATTACCATTCAATGTATTTACTTCATTATTGTGCCTGTTTTATATCCTTGCTGTATTATTCCACTGTAATAGTACTTAGAGGTCCATGGCACACACCAGGCTCACACAGCTCTAGGTGCTGTAGGGAAAGACAGTCCTTGGTCAAGAGTTGTACTTCCTTGGTCCTAAGGCAGTCTAGCACAGGGCTGTTCTCCTGAGGTAAATTGCATCTGACTCTTTACAGCCTTTAGAAAATAGTAATGGTAAGCAGTCGAAAAGCTCACAACACTCTCCTGCCTGCCCTGCAGTGGACAGCACAAGCATCCACAAATTCATCAAATCACATAGTCCTTAAGGACTAAGCCTCACATTTCTTTTACTACAACATGGGAATAATTTCCTATCTGACAGAGGTAGGAAATGGTTTAGCTCTCATTTAAATATATGTGCTCTGGCACATTTAGTAGTATATCCATTTAGTAGTATAATGGAATGACGCTATATTTATTGAGAGAAACTGGTGCATAGACTTGTCTCTACATTGACATGCAAAAACAAGTGCAATACTATTGGTAATCTAACAAAACAAGATAAATATCTTTAATGCAAAAGACTGAATTTTGGAATACGTCTTTTTGATTTATTGAGATTCAGGTACATATTTTTCTGAAGACACAGGAAATACAAGGCCAGAAATTATTATTTTTGCAATGGATTGAGTGTAAATTCAGTTATAGGGTTTATAGGATGTTGCCTGCTATATTTATTGAGAGAAACTGGTGCATAGACTTGTCTCTACATTGACATGCAAAAACAAGTGCAATACTATTGGTAATCTAACAAAACAAGATAAATATCTTTAATGCAAAAGACTGTATTTTGGAATACGTCTTTTTGATTTATTGAGATTCAGGTACATAGTTTTCTGAAGACACAGGAAATACAAGGCCAGAAATTATTATTTTTGCAATGGATTATAGGGTTATAGGGTTTATAGGATGTTGCCTCCCTACTTTGTCAGATGCCTCACCACATCCCACTGGTCTGTTGGTATCTCTCGGCTGCCAACCTTCTTGGCCCAGATTCATTGATTTCATTTCAAAAACATCTCTCTTATGAAATGCTTGGAGGGAGATCCACACACTCACTGTAGTGAAGGAGAGAACACGTTTCAGGCCATCAGAGACTTAAATTGCCCTTTGGAGATGCTTCTTTCTTCTCACTGAAGACAGAGAGAGCCTAGGACCGTAGCATGGCCAGCAGAGGGGTCTGCCTCGTGTCAGGTGAGACACAGCTGATGTGTAGCCGTGGAGTGAAGGGAAATTAGAAGGACTTTCCCTGGTGGGGGAATGTATATTTAATCACTCCCTGCCAGCCCCTCACCAGAAGAAGGAAATGGAATTGAACAGTCACCCACCCTGGTTCCAGCCTACCAACCTTCCTCTCGGCAGCTGCAACTTTCCTGCCAACGGTTTTCAACACCGCTGCTTTCCCAGCTTCCGCTGCAGCTGTTGTTGAGGCTGAGCAATCACAGCATGTTTTCTATGCTGCAGAAAAGTTTATGGTAGACAAGACCACCATTGCATATAAGTTATAATATCTGCATGTGTTCAGTGCAGCATGTTGATTTTCTCCTGGAGCACACTGCACATACGCACAAGTTCATATGATGTAGCAATTTCCCTCCTTACTGCCTGTACTTGGAGAGGATCGGTGGTCTTTTATAAAAGGAATCTATGAGTAGATTACATCCAGGGGTCGCATACTCAGGCAAATCTCTTTAAACAGCTCTTTTGATGCCTAGAGAAAGTTTTCTGCCTGTTTTACTTTGGGAACATACATAAGTGGACAGTGTTCTAATATTGCCTAGATTAAAAAAAAACCTGTTATTAGTAGTATCACTCACAGCAACTCCATGAAAGTCAGGTACCTAATTTTATAGACACAGTGAACTGAAAAAATTGAATCTTTCCGTGGAGTAACTTGAAAGGAAAATTACTTTGGGAACATACATAAGTGGACAGTGTTCTAATATTGCCTAGATTAAAAAAAAACCTGTTATTAGTAGTATCACTCACAGCAACTCCATGAAAGTCAGGTACCTAATTTTATAGACACAGTGAACTGAAAAAATTGAATCTTTCCGTGGAGTAACTTGAAAGGAAAAACATCCATTCAGTTTTTTTTTTTTTTTTTATTTTGGAATGTGTCAAATATTCTGCTGAAAGCCTTGAAGGAACATGCAATGACCTGCTTTTTGTTTGCTTCTACATGACATTCCAATGCTTCATCCAGGAAATGTGCTACATTTCTTTAAGAATGCATTTTAAAGAGGCATTTCAGCCTCCATTTAAAAAAGCTGAAACATCAAAATGAAATAACATAATTCAAAACATAACCAAAATATTTGTTCTGAAATGTTCCTTTGACATGAAAAGAATTTGTTAATTTTCTCATGGGAAACACATTCATTTTCCATTGGAATTAGCATATGCCCTTGAAAAATAACCACAATTTAAACTGAACTGAGCTATTTAGTATAGAAACTTTCTGCTGAAAAAGAAATGTTTGATCAGCTTTTTTCATATATAGAAACCTGAAATAATTGGTCTAATTTTTAGAGCTGCTGAGCATTCACAGATTGCTTTGAAGTTAGTAGTAATTCAGAGGTGTTCTGCATTTTTGCAAACCTAGCCACTTGTTTTGGTTTCAAAGTAGTGTTATCTGTGACTAAGTTTGAGCATTTGCATGTGAAAAAAACCCACTGTAAAATGGTCTACATAAAAGAATATATGTGCTTCTTTTTCTTCCTCCTTTCCAAAATGCATGAGGCAAGAAAGCAAGAGAAGCAAACCTCTTTGTGGTTTGGCTGATGTAAAGACCACTGCTTCCTCTTCTCTCGGGTGTGTACGTGATATGGGGTTAGTGGAATGATGCAGAACAATTACCTCAAACAAAAGAATTTCTACCACACAGTCCAGACCTTGTTCAGAATATGTTTTCTGAGCCCTCACCTCAAAAGACAAGATGGGAAAAACTTTCTTTTCATCCTAAATTAAAAAAAGAATAGCTTCTTATTTTAGTAGAACATTAATTCTTCTTAATTATTAGTTATTTTTATGCACAGTTCCACTCAGAGGTTTGTGAGTTTTTTCTTGATTTCACATCAAATTTGTGGAAATTCATAATATCCTTGGTTTGAACTGCTGATGGGTTCAAAATATGAACACCTGTTCAGTTCTTTTATTTTTTGAATTTGATCTAGATTAGTCCTAAAACTATTGTTTAACTGGCCTCGGTCTATAACATTTTAAGAGCTGTTCCTGTTTTTCTTCAAAGTACTTAGATCAAAGTGATCCAAACTAGTTGTGGTTCTAAAGCTAGGCATTAAACAAACACAAAAAATTTACCAAAAAGGCATTTTTGAATCAGTCAAAGACTATTTTGGTATTGTGGTATTTTGGAGGAAGGAATGCAAGGTATAGAACAGTACTATTTTTTGAACACTATATATACATATTTCAGAATGTTTGCTGGCATTTCTTTAGGACTGTGCCTAACAGGGATAAAAAAGGTAAATATAATGAAAACCAAATGTCTCTTCTTGAGTCAAAAAGAATATTTTATTTGATAAAAAGCTTTTATTTTCATTTTGCCTTAAACCAGTCACAGCTGTAAAAGGGTGAGGAGGTAGCGTCAGGTGTTCATGGTGCATGGAGATGGGAGGTGGCAACAGCAAGAACCCAGAAGCAGCTGGGGCAGCAGAGATGTGTCAATAGCAGATGGACAGAGGGGTTGATATCCAGAGGAATGAAAGCTGGACAGAAGTATCCAGTGGCAGGACAGGCCATGCCCAGCATGTGAAGGCAGAAATCTAGGGAAAGGAGAGGATGGAGTGTAGTGGAGCCAGCGAAAGTGCTGAATTGAGGCAGCAGCAAGGCTGAGGGCTAAAAGGAAGAGGAAGGAACAGTGCTGAAATCAGAAGCCCCTGTTCCCCCTAAAAAAGCTCAAGGAAATGTTTCTTTAAATCTGTAGCAGTTCAGGAATAGTGCAATATTTATGAGTTAATATCTAATTTGTCCACTTATGAAGTACCTTTTCCCACATTATTAACACTGCCCTTCCTTTTTCTTTTTAAGAAAAAACTGTGGATGTCATGCTGCTAAACCTCACCTTGTTTTGCCTCCTGATTTTCCTTGGAGGTTTGATGATGTATGCTTGCAGAAGGTAATGTACATTTCTGGAAGGTAGCATAAATTTCTGGTGGAACAAAGGTCAGGGAAGAAGAAAGGTGAAGGTGAGAGTAAGCAAACAATACAATGGATTAAAGTCAAAGACAAAGTCTCAGATAAGTTATGTTTACAAGAAGCAATTCATTGTGTATTTCCAACTATTGTTCTAACAAAAGAATGCCATCTCACAGCTCCCATCACCGTCTCTGGAGCTCCAGGGTCATACCCTACTCTCAGCTGTCTCTCTGCCTCTATAAATGGCACTTTTTTCACCGTTGACTACTGTCTCTCCACTCTTAGGGTGACTTTGCCCCATGCTTTTGTGGGTTCTGCATTCAGGGACACCGATGTTAGTCATACCAAGAATGAATTACATTTGCCACATTGCCCAATTTCATTTCATAATCTGTGGGTATTACTGAGAGCAGTCTTTTACTCTAAGATGGACAGTTTACAATAAATAAGTAAAACTGAAAGTCAACGTAATGGAAGGAATTTCTTTTGCTGTTGTATGAGTACAGCAAGTAGTAGTGGTTCTACACCCACCAATATTTAATGCAGCCATCTGCATTCATGCCACTGTTTTTCTGCCCGGCTATATAGTTTTCCTATCAACATGCCTGAGAGGGCTTTCTTGAACTGAAAAAAAAAATTGTTCGGGATAGGATTATTTAATTAATGACTAAATATGATTCTCGATTAAGATTAAAGAAGTTATGATGGTCTCTTATCTTATTTCAGTAAACAAATACTCAAAGCAAACAAAGCATGTAGTTGAAAGCCATCTGCATCCGAACATAAAACAATATTCTGGTTAAATAGTAAGAAGTGACTGCCCTCAAGAGAGCAATTCTGTTCTTCCCACTAAAAACAGTCAGGCTGAAGAAGAGCTGTGAAAAATGCTGAGAAAAAGGTCTGCAGTGAAACAAAAAAGGGTAGAATGGCTTTAGAAATGGTAGATGCCTGTCTAATTAGCATATGTCTTACAAAGTATTATTGAATGATCTGTTCCTGCAGACATTTAAGAGTTGCATGTCTGTATCACTCTCTTGTAGGTATAGATGCCTGGAAGTTATAACCATGCCTGTTCCACATCCTTCAGATAATATCAAAACTTGGTTAGCTGCAGATGAGACTTGCCAGCAGGTAAAGTGTGTCTGTCTTTTTTCTTTCACTACATTGACACGTAAGATACTACTGGCGATCGGAATGGTACATATTATATTTGGAGCAGCAGGCCAGTTTTAAGACAAACTGGGAAAAAAGTATGGAGAATATTTGTAGTGAAGCCAAAAGAGAAGAGAAAGCTTGTGGAGATTACAAGACAATGATCTCAGTAGACAGGATGGAGAAAACCCTCAGGGTAGCATTGTCTCAAAAAGTGTTTCAGCATATCCACACTCAATGGGCTTTAAGTAGCAATCACCCTGACTCCCTGCAGAATAGTCAGTTATGGGATTTTACATGTATAAGCATGTGGGAAAGTCACCAAAAGGAAAGTTTTTGTGGAGATCTGCAAGTCATAGGTTATGTTGTTGTAAATGTTTTTAATGATAATTCTCCATTCTTAAATAATATAATAAAATATTTCTCCATTGTTATGGCAAATAAGAGGAAGATCCTCAAAGCACAAAACATAAACTACCCCACCTGTGCACCTACTGCAGGATACAGCAGGATACCCTGTACAGAGGTGTTTACTTTGGAAGAGATAATGTGCTGTAAACTCAGATGATAGATTATCTCATGGCAAATTGCAAGTCTTTATTCAATTGAGCGAAACAGAATATAAATATTTGCAGTATTTGTGTAGCTATCATTAATGGAGCACCTTGACTGGCAGATTCAATGCTTCTTATCACTGTTTGTCATTGTGTAAGTTAGAGGAAAAAATGCTCTAGTCAGGCAGAGCTCTAGATCCCTACAACTCTGGTGAAGATGTGCTCCAGGAGTCATGATAAGGTTGGTAAGATTGCCTCTGTCCTGGTTCTTCTGGAACACATGACGAGAAGGTGCAGGTGTGCTCAAACTCTCTTTTTTGGGGGGGCGGAAACATCATTGAAATAGAAAATTGCAACGAGGATTTTCTCTATCCTATGTACTCAAAACATTTGTTCCAAGCCTCTGCAGGTTTTCTATTACTTTTACTCTCTCCTACTTTATTACTGTAATTATGCTGCAATATCAAATCTTTTTTAGGCAAGCATTCAGCAATGTAACTAACAATTGTCAATGTGAGCAGTTATGCCATCTTCTCTCCCAGGCATAAAATATATGCCTTCCATTATTGTATTTGGGGTTTTGTATGAATATACCTACATGATTGCAAACTCTGACAGACACCATGGACCATCTCAATTCATGAATCGCAACTTGAATTATGAGGCAAGAGGAGTGGGATATTTTGTTTTGTTTATTTTATCTTCTCAAAGGCAAATTTATGGAAAAACTGATGTGCATATACATTATAATATAAACAGAAAGATGGAAGTGTTTTGAACTTGCACCTGGAGTTCATTCCACAAGCCTTGAGCAGGGTCTCAAGAGCAGTCTGTGCTCCTCTTCCTTACAGTCATTCTTCCAGAAAAGAAAAGCTCAAGAGCTCCAGAACTGGATTAAAGCCAAGTCTCTTATTCTCAATATTCAAAGTAATTTCTATGACACTTCTGGCCAAAATTATTTGACCAAATTAGACCCAAAAGATGCCATATTTACCACCTTTTCTGGGCAAAAATCCTTTGGCGCTCTTTTCACCATCAGTGGTGTGCAAATTAATTAATAATACTCTTTATGACCATCACATATGGACAGGCAGAACATAAAGATAAAATCATCACCACCAACTTACATTCTGCATCTCCCTCCAACCTACAACTTCATACACTGCAGTTTAAGAGGTCTTTGTATTCAACATATGAATTAAAAAATCACAGCAATCAATGATCACCACAAAAAATATATTTAATATCACTAACAGAGAAAGAAGACATATCTGTCCCCAAGCCATTACAAGCACTGAATATACCTTTGACAGGAAGGCCTTAGCATAACCATGTAATTAGTGTCTAGATGATTACAACAGGTGGCTGAGATGAGTGTCGATGGCATTTCTAGGAAAGATAAATTGAATATAATGTATGGAACATACCAGTATCTCAAATATTGCTGGTACCTAAAAAAGCAAAGACACTGCCTTTGGACACACTGTAAGAGTTAAGAAGACTGGGTGCTGAGATAATCTGTTTTATCCAACAAATAAATGTAACCCCTGAAAGCTAGACTGTGTCTTTGACATAAACCTTAGGTACATAGTTATATCAACCTGGAGTGGGAAAAGCAACAAAATTAAGGTTCAGAAAAACTAAGAAAATTTGCCTGTGACCAACCTTTTGTTTGAGAGATTAACTCATATGATCTCTGTATTCCATTTATCATGACAAAGTAAGTAATTTGTACTAATCCCAGGTTCACCAAATAAGTAGCATGTTTGTAACAATATGCAGAATTTGCAATACCATTGAATGCAGATGTTGTGCATAATGTTACTTTTATTCAACAGAAACAAATGTCAATGCAAGTGGAGATGCACTCAGAGGTTACTATGGCAATACTAGAAGAGAACAGAGACAAGAGCATTCAAGAACAGAAATTTTTGAAGGAATCTGGATTTGAAGACCGGTAGGGAGGATGCACTTTTTTAAATCTACATGCAAGAGTTACCTTTCTATGAGGTGGACAATATTCAGACAGATCTAAGAACAGCTGATACTGGAGTTTGCTGAGACCAATAATTTGAAGTATTTTGAACTCTGACATTGTGCAACTCTTAAAATGAACTTTGGATCACAAAGGCAAAGCAGTACCTTGCAGTTTGCACCTCACAACAGCTGATCTTCAGCCGAATAAAATTACAGCACCTCAGACAATATGATCTAATATTGAGGTCCACTAGGGTTAAAATGGAACTAGAGTTAGTGTTTCGTAATGCTGCAATAGCTTCCAAGAACTGTCTGATAATCAATGTCTTTGAAGACTGGCTGTTCATAGAAATCTCATACTAGTTATTCAACATCTGACTGGTCATGACGAATGGTGGAAACAATGAATGTTTCTGGAAATAGCAGAAGAAGATCACAAGAGTTTTCTCAAGCTGAAAAAAATAATACTTTCTGAGGCACTGCATTGTGTAAGCAGACAGCAATGTTAAGGAAGAGTGGGGTGTGAAGATGTAAGTAAGGCCTTTTCATGCGACGGATTTATTCCTTTGAAGTTAGTAAAAGGAGAAAACTTTAGACAAGTTAAAGAAAACAAAAGTTTTGGCTGTATTGTGATTGTTTAAATAAGTATAACTCAGAGAAGTTAAAGTTCAGAACTGACCAACTATTACTATTTATTTTTCCATGTCCTTTTAAAGAAAATTTTCTTTCCATTTCCATGAGATGGTAAGCCATAACAGTTCACTTTGAGGTACACAACCAGAGCAGACTATCTTAACTCTTAGTTGAGGTAGCATTTATTTGACTACAGAGGAAGGACTATATGGCCTTGATTTTACAAGGAAGATATTTCTGCAGACTTTTTTTATGGGCAGGAAATACAACTAAATGATGGACTTAATTTTCTGGAAAGCTTGGAAACTACCTAAAAAAATCTTGTTTTCATTTATGGTAAAATTTCTCCATGCTCAGAATAATATTTATTGAAGTAAGTATTTGATTACACTTGAAAAAACATATTTTGTATTAATGTAAGGGACAATATAAAACTTCTGTTTGTGCTTTTTTGAAACATTCATTTTATAAGATACACTGCTATACAGAGTTTTGGTTCACCTGAATATGCTTTTTTTTTCGCTAAAATTTCTCCCTCATCACAGTGGTGAAGACTGCACTCTTTCTCTTTAATAGTAAGAAAGGCTGGTAAAATCCCAAGAGCCCAAGCTGGAAATGCCTGAAGAATAAAAGGACTATCATTATCTTTGTTTGCCATAGGATCAAGTTCATGACCTCAGGAAAAAACAATCAACTTTACTAGGCAGTGTTACCTTTCCTGTTGTGTTGAATTTTTTACAGAAGGTAAGGATGGTCTTACCTTTGAACATCAGTGCTCTTCCTCCCTCCTCCCCCCATGCATATCAGCCTGACGCCTATGCAAATCCTCAGGAGGAAGATGTCAGGTGCTGAATCAAGTTTTAGTAATGACAACTCCTGTAATCTGTCCTTCTCTGTCTTGAGTGCAGATGGGAAAACCCGCAATCAACACACTCATTTTTCTCCTGGATGCTCAGTTACTATCTTTGTGTGTAAACAAGGCAGTTTATCCCATCAACCATGGTCCAGGCATGTTTTCTCAGGAAAAGGGGAAGAATTACTGCTTCATTTAAAAATCATTAGAGGAGGTAATTAGAAAACAAGTGTCATGAACTTACATATTCCCTTCTTGGTGAGGATATAGAGCTGATATAATGAAAGAATCAGAACATATGTGAGCTAAGTTGAGTAGGGAAGTACCACACATTTGCCAAACACATCTGGAATCCAGACTTTTTATAGAGAAGTGAGGCCACAGTGAATATTATATTGTTCCTTAAAATATATTTGATATACATATATTTTATATAGTTTTGGCTTGCATCACTTAAGCCGACAACCAGTGCCAGGATTCAAAATTAGACAGAGAACCTACAGATAAAAGTAATTTTACTATTTCACCTGAAAATAGAAGAGTTCTTTTACATAAAAATTTCTTTTCTTACAAGCAGTTTCTGACAATAAACACAATTTGCCCGTATATACATGGCACCTGCAGAGACACACCACATAAAAAGTAATATTATAGTATCAGTTGTATGGAAAATTAATCTTAAAGTGCAAATTTTTAAATAAAAAAATCTGTACCTGGATCTTTATGAGCAAAACTTGTCCAATTTGTTTACAAAATAATATAATTTTTCCTTAAAATAAGAATATTATTCTAAACCTATCCTAGATTTATACTGCAATAGGGGATTAATGTGCAATATATGCATGATGAAATATAAATATCTGAAAGCAAAACTGTGCAACCCTCAGTATGGCAATAAACATTTAATTTTATTCAAAATCTTACTCAGCTTTTCTGGCTTGCTCCTGTAAATGAAGTGCTTGCCTTCATCTTGTCTGTGAATGAAGCTCCTGTGAACAAGATTTCACCTTCTGGTATTCTGGCACAACCTGATGAGACACTGGTCAGCTCATTGCACATAGAGAGATTGCTCTTTACACGTATGCAGAGGGCTCTGGAGTCAAAATCCCTTTGCCTGGATCATAAAGCCTTGGGGGAAATCATGACTTAACTATTTTTATGCTTTCAATTCTGAGTACATATAGCACACAGGGAATTAGGTTTAGGGTATTATCCAACGTCTGTGATTCTTCCTGAACATCAGTGACTATGTAGATATCAGGTGTGCCTTACTTTAGCTTCTGAAGGCACAACAGTCCCTTGCCTTTGCTTTGAAAGGAGGATAATTGCAAGAGGATGAAGGGTATCAGCAGAGCAACCCTCAGACTTGGGACTCTGCATGAAAGCTGGTCAGGTTGTCCATTGCTGCCACCTACTGTACAACCAACCTGCTTTTAATGAGAAATATTCCTGATGTTTTCAAACTGCTTTAACTCAAGGCAGGTCTGCTGCTTTAACTGCGATATGATAATTAAAGAAGTCCACCTTCCTCTCTACCATGAAGACCTGGCCTTCATTAGGGACAAGATCCATCTCTCCTAATTTTGGCCTTCTCAAAGTCGGGTGTCTAATCAGAGCTGGCCAGGGCCCTGTGATATGTACTGAGAGAAGACCTCCAGCAAATGAGTCATTTCAATCTAGAACAGATGTCCAAGACAGGATGACTGTCCCTTCTGGAGATGGGGTCTCTTTCTTGTCAGACCCTAAATGATCAGACTGAGTTCAAATGCCTACGTTGGCAAAACATGCTTTTCTTGATGTAGTTATTCTGGCTCTCCCTACCCAGGTGAAAGGAGATACTTCAGCCAAAGAATGGCTTGGAAGGCGTAGCCTTTGCTTTTGGGAATTTTTCCAATACAGTTAAAGAAGTTACAGTTCATATCTCATCATGTTTCAGATGAATATTATTAAGCCAGTAACAGCATTTTTGCTGAGAAACAACCTTGATCGAGATCAAGGGCAACGAATCTTGAGACACAGTATTTAGGCCGAACTTCACAATTTTATTCTTCTCACTATCAAGTGGAGATGCTGGAGGACGCAAGCATTTTATCTACACATAATTTATATCTTTATAAGTTTCACCAAAGCGAAATGTATCAAACAGATAAAAAGCTTGTGAGTGTGGTATGTGTGTGTGCACGTGGAAGGAACGTGGTCAAGGAAATGCTGTCTGTATGGAAAAATATTCATTAGGGCCAAGTGTACAGTGCATGTTGTCTTCTTATCACACTGCCTGTATTTCCCCGTTAAAGTTATATACATTATCTGCTGTCATTTAAATAACCAATGCTAGCTAACTGGTACAATTTGTTCTATCTAAAAGAACCAGATGGCCCCTACAAAGTAGCTCTGAAGATAAAGATGCATTGAGAAGATAAAAACGCTGTGGTAGCTGGTACAGCAGTGCGTTACACTAAGAGTTGTATTACTGCATCTCATCGGAATAGATTAATGTCAGCATATCTTTGATAATCTCAGAAAAAATCCAGGTCACAGCTTTGAATGCTAATTGCATGTAAAGCCTGACACCATGCTTCTGGTTCTCCTGGAACCTGGCAAGTGATCAAACCCCTAACCATTGGACAAATAGAGAATTATGATCTTGGCATTTAGTTCAGGAAAATATTTGAAGTAACATAGACCCAGCAAAGCAGTCAACACCTTTGAGTCAAAATTACCATAGTTTTACTCAGCTTTCCTATTATTCACTCTCTAAGTTTGTAAAAACTTCTAAAAAAACACAGTGACACTTATCTATCTGCAGTAAATCCAAAACACGTAAGCATAAAAAAATACATGCATAATACCTGGGTAAAGCAAGATATTAAAAAAGAAGGAATGAAGAGATGGAAATAGAGGGAAAGAATGAAAGAATTAGTATTCCAGACCATACAGCAATATTATGTTTTCATTACCTCACGAAATTAGTTTGGATCCAGCAAGCTGCCACTTTACATTCATACAGATGAACTATAATTGTACTTTAAAGCTTGTTTTGGCTTCTGGGTGTCATTTGTTTTTTTGACCAATGGAGAAAATGAGAAATGCAATGATTGTGTAAATATTCTAGAACACAATAGCTACCAGATACTCATTTCATCATTCATTTTGTGCAAAAGGCTACTATGTGGGGAAACCTTTTTTTCAGTTTTTAAACTATAGAGCTGTATGCTTGTTGAAAGCATACATGGGTTCAGAAAGAAACTGAAGTAAAGCATGAAAAAATATCTATCAAAGACTTGCTAGATACAAAGTCAGCTCTGTCTCATGTGGTCCCCCACCCATAAATTGCAAGACACAGGGAGAATGCATCTGCCCTCTTTGTACTTTGTACCCTGGGCACCTGCTATAGGCACTATTAGAGAGAAAATGGACCACTGGTCTAGGTCAGCCTTTCGACTGATCAACTACAGCCATATTTTCAGAGCAGTTGGAGGAACTGCTGAGGCATCATAATGTGTTTCCCAACTAAAAGACTAGCTCACTGCTAGTGTTGAAACCAAGTGTAAGACTTCTGTCTTCAGGAGATAAGCAAAACATACTGCTCAGCCAACATCTAAACCCAGAAAACCTCAGAACTGGGTGGGTTCATAAAGTCACCCAGTTCACCTTCACTGTGTGAATGTGGGGAAACTTTATTAGCCTGGACTTCCAGTGATAGTATGGAGAGGGGCTTTATCCATTTACATAATTTCAGTAGCATCTTGAATGACAGGGTTTTTTTTATAGAACAAAATGTTTTATTTGAAACACACAGGATGGGAAAGCTTTATCCCTGATCCCTCTTGGACGTTTAATAAAAAGAAATAGTGATGCATATACCATGGAGTGTTTGAACATCTGGCAACAATAGAAAGAGATGGACACAAGCAAAATTGTGCCCACTTTCAGCAGTGTAAGTAAAGGAGAATTTACAGTAACATATATTCATTATATTGTGAATGTAGTCAGCTTTGATGTATTGTAATCCTGCTCTACTTGATTGAAGAGTCTGTGAAATATGAGGTATTCAGGGTTATATAAAAAACTGTAAATTATTTGCATTCCTTCATGAAAACAAATAAAGAATAAAATAACAGAATACCTGTCCCATATGTAGCATATAATTTGGATTCCTTTAGATTGAAGACAGTGTATGTTAAAGGAAAAAGCTGTGGCTGGTGAGCAGTTGTTAGTTCTGGTAATTTGAAATTAAGAAGCTTTAAGATAACCTGTTTGCGGAATTTATGTTGTTCATCTCCTGCCATAATCCTTGGCACACGGACTTGTTCTAAAAATGGTGAGGAAACCACTTTCCCAGCA